CTAGGCGAGCAACTCACTCTGAGTTAGTGCCCCCAGTGGTGTCATCTGGGAAGGGCCTCTGGTCACTGAAATTTTTGTAAAAGCAGTTTTGTTTGAACCTCGTTTTTTGTGATATTTATTAAACAGAACAGCTGTGTTAACATGGTGCTGTGAAATGTTTTGTTTCCTGCTTGGGGAAAATGCCACAGAAACTGTTGTGATGTTGAACACGGCTTACAAGAACAGCAAGATGGGAACAAGTCGAGTGTACAAGTGATTTTCTCCTTTCAGAAAAGGTGAAATGCCAATTGGTGACAAATCTGGTTCTGGAGGTCATCCACTTCTGAAGGGATGAAAATGTCGACTTTTCTGAAAGGACTTGTAATGCATTGGGAGTTCATCCCACTAGGTCAGACTGCTAATCAAGCCTTTCTATTTAGAGTTTCTGTACAGATTGTTTAACTGACAAACGAGGCCTGATTTGTGACAGACGAGGGACTGGTTTTGCCACTACAATACTGCACATGCTTACACAGCAGACCTCTCTAGCACACGCACCTGACTCACCTGACTTCGCTCTGTGTGACTGTTTTCCACGAATGAAGAGGGACATGCAAGGGCAGCGGTTTGACAACCTAGAAGAGGTAAAGAAAACGAGGGAGGTGCTGTCAGCTATCCAAACATGAGTTTGAAAAATGTTTTCAAGAATGATATTGCAGATTTGACAATTCTATTAAGTGTAATGGAGAGTACTTTGAAGGTGATATGGTAGTTTTGTTAAAATTTTAATACATACCTTTGAAAAAAGTCTGGTTTTTTTGGGGGGTACCCCGGTATGTTCATTTTTTGCCTCTATCTTTGCTGTGGTGTGCCATTGAGTCAATTCTGACTCAGTGGCCAAAGTAGAATCCCTCCATATGGTTTCCCAGGCCATCAATCTTCAGGAGCATTTGCCAGGTCTCCCACTGGTGGGTTTAATTTAAACAACCCACTTTCAGTTGAATGCTTAATGATGTCACCACCAGTACACCTTCCATCATTACCTTACATTAATGTAAATTTGACTGATGTTCACACTCTGCTCAAAGGAAAAAAAAAAGACATTTGTAGAGGTATAAATACAGGCAGTACATATGTAACAGGGACGTGGATCTATGTACATATATGTTAAATATTAAGGAAACAGACAGACATTGGACCTCTACTCAAGTACTCCCTCAACGCAAGAACACTTTGTTCTAATAACCTGGCATTCTGTGATGCTCACCTTCCAAACACAATCGCTGAAGACAAAATGGGTGCATAAGCTAATGTGAAGAAAGGTGATGGTGCTTGGCTATCAAAAGATATAGCGGCTGAGGTCAAAAGCTGGGAGATAAACAAGCGGCCATCTAGCTGAGGAACGACAAAGCCCACATGGAAGAATCACAACAGCCTGTGTGATCATGAGGTGTCAATGGGATCATATCAGGCACCAAAAGACCCAGAACAAACATATCAAGGCAAAGGTGGGGGAGGGGGAAAGTGGAAACCCAAAGCCTATCTTTACACAATTGGGCATCCTCACAGAAGGGTCACAAGGAAGGGACAAGCCAACAACAAAGCCTACAACATTCCTCTAATGCTTCCCCACCCCACTATTGTGTCTCCAATTCTACCCTCCAGATCAGGCTAGACCAGAGCATGTACACTGGTACAGTGCTCTCAACACATGGAATCCAGGACAGACAAACCCCTCAGGAACAATAATGGGAGTAGCAATACCATGAGGGTGAGGGGAAGGTGGGGGGAGAAAGGGGGAGCCAATCACAGTGGTTGCAATATAACCTCCCCTGCCCGCCCCCCAAGAGGATGAACAACAAAAAAGTGGATGAAGGTTGGTGTAACATGAAAATATTAGTAATTTATAAATGATCAAGGGTACATGAGGGAGGGGAAAATGAGCTGATACTGAGGGCTCAAGTAGAAAACGTTTTGAAAAGGGTCATGACAACATGTACAAATGTGCTTGACAAAGGATGTATGGATTGTTATAAGGGCTACCAATGAGATGATTAAAAAACAAAACAAAACTGGTTTCATTTACCTCTGTTCCATGACTATTGGAAAAGACAGAAGTGCCTATGATTGATTAACACCAACCTGCAAAAATAGATTTCAATTTACATAACACGTAAGACAGCTCATTAAAATCGAAGTCATCTTTAGGACAGCAATCTGAAGTTCTGGGTATCTTAAAAGACCTTTTCAGAGTAACATTTGCAAGGACTTTGACATTGTACAATACTATCTGCTTTTCAGGAGCTGCAGGGAAAGAAAGATTCCCAATCTTGTTGAGATTTCCCTTCTTGCCCATTAGAAGGACTTGGAAGTTCAGTGCTAAGAGGAAAAAAAGACAACTGGAAATAAAAATGGTAGAATGATATTAAATGAAATATGGAAGTAATATTTTGCATCCACTGGCAATTTTCATAAATTCTTTGAAGTGTGCACTTAGATTCCACTTTTTCTGTTTTACCCACATCCTGGGCTTCCACTACTTTTTGTTCACAGACAATTGTTACTGCTCATCTTCCATCAGTGCTTTGCAAATTTTACTGTGCATCAGAATCCCTTGAGAGTTTGCTGGCTTACTGGCCCTCATCCTCAGAGCTTCTGATTAGGCTCCAGAGTTAAGCTGAGAATTCAAGTTTATTTTACATCCTCAGGTGACACTTGTTGGATTAGTGAAGCTACACTGGACCTATGTTGAGCTGGACTATATGCCTTAATGTAGAAGATACATACAGAGCGCTTGATACTCACACAGGGTCTGGCATATATCCGGTCTACAAATGTTTGGGAAATGTGAAGCAATTATCCCAAACTTAGACTCCCTTTAAACCTATAACTTCATTTAGATCCTTGCCCTCAGAGAATGAGCCTACTTTTCTAGTTTATTGATAGCGAAATATGTTAAGCCTACCCATTTTGAGGATGTTAGTTTTTACAACGAGTAAAATAGCTCCTGGAGTACTTCATCCAGACAACTGATTTTATCTGAATTGCATTTTACAGTTTTCTTAGACTTGTAGAACTTGTCCTCCTGGAGACAAGGCAATATCTAGACAAGAGATGATGGTGGCTTGGACTAGATTTTGTAGCAGAGAAGGTGGTGAGAAGTCAGTTTCTGGATGTATGAGGCTTTGCAAAAGGTTTTGCTCCCAAATCAGATTAATTAAACAAAAACAACGAATGTGAAGTTTTTTGTTGGTTTTCTTAATAACCTACCATGTGACCCAGCCATTCCACACCAAGCTATTTATTCAAGAGAAAAGGAAATAGGAAGGTAAGTAAAAAAGTACTGGTACAAAAACCACAGCTTTGTGAAACAAAAATATCAATGTGAAGCTACTGTTTCTTCACCTTTCTTCTATCTGGGTCTCTACACTTCCGAAGGTGGTGTTTCCAGCTCTCTAGCCCCGCCTGGAGGAATTCTGATGCTGGCGCCATAGCATGTCAAAATGGCGGTTCTGGCATCCTCAAGGGACTGCATGCCCTTGCACTGTTCTTGGAGTTTATGCAATGCAAGGATGTCTGAAGGGGCCAGATCAGGCTGCACGGTGAATGGGGCTAGTTTTCCCAGTGAAATTCTTGTAGTGCAGTCCTTTCTGCCTTCAAAGAATAAGGAGACACTTATCATGATGCAAACCATTCCTTGGTGAAGCTCTCTTGGCCTTTTCCTCAACCATACACCAATGTAAGTCCATGTACTTAAGACTTCCTCAGAATAAGCTCCCATGATCCTCCTGTCTTTCAAGAAAATCTAGTAAGAGCTTACCTTCGAAATCCAAAAGAACACTTTCCATAACCTTAGCTAACTTCTAACTTGAATTTGGCTGGCCCAGAAAATGCTGATCCCATTCTGATTGAGCCTTGCTCTCCGGGTGATATTGTTGGATTCAAGATGCATCTAGTACATTTCACTCCACAAGGTTGTCTTCATTAGCTTTGATTTTGCTTCAAAGAAAGATGGGAATATCAGGTCTTTAAGCTGGCTGGTTTTAACACAATACTTTCGACACTCCTGGACCTGAACGCTTGCTGAGGCCAAGATGTTTGCTTAAAATTGAAGATGCCAAGTCACGTGAGATCGCATCTTCAATCCCTATTGAATCCATGAAAACTGTGTGGTCTTCCACCAGTTCCTGAACTTCAGCCAAAATTTCTTGATTTGCAAGTTGACAGCCTTTCCTAGTTTGGCTCTTTCAGGTCTTTGCCAGCTTCCTTAAAATGCTTGATCCATCTAAAAAAATGGTTCTTTATGTGGG